TTTTTTCTTTCTTTCTTGAAAAAGCTGGACCTGTGATCTGCAGAATGCTGAGTTATCCCCCAACTCGCCGAGCCTTAATTGTGGGTTGTGGACTACAAATGTTCCAGCAACTCTCAGGCATTAACACCATCATGTATGTATTTCTTTCTGGCTTTTTACTGAAAAGATTGTGAAAGGATTATTTTACATGAAATAGTAAAAAGTATTTCATGTAAATACTATACTCAGTGATTTATTCTGATTAAATGTATGGATTCTCCTTTTGGGAGATACTAACTTTACAATTTTTTAATTCGAGTAATTTGTAACTAGACAAAGGTGATTTATTTTGTTTGTTATATTATTGGCTTTATTTGATTCCATAAAATGTCTCTTTTATGACATCCAATACCTCCTTGTATTCTGAGCTTAAATATGTCATTTTTTATAAACCATTTCCTGATGGTGGTTGGAAAGTAAAATAGAAGGAAATCACCTGGCATTGCCAGAGATTATGGGCACACAGATAACTAATTAGTTTCTTTTTGGTGCAGTCTACTACAGTGCAATGTGATAAGCACATTAGTAGAAGTACGTTGATTATAACCAGAGTATGGTAGAGGGGAAATTGAGTGGGAAGGATAGTGGGGAATACAGAAAAGTTCCCTGTTCTCTAATTGTAAGAGTAATTCCCAAAGCTGTATGTTTGCTGGGGGTGGGAAGGACTAAATATTAGGGGCTCTACTAGGTTTCCCTCATTCAGTATTAAACCCATTTTTGAGGGCCTCTATTGCCCTAGACCTACAGCAGTAACTAAAGTAGACCTGGGTCTTGTCCTCATGGATGTACAGGCTGGCAGAGGAAACACACATTAAATAAGCTCACAGTTAAATACAAGATTTCAAATTATGATAAGGGCCAGACAGGACTCTCAATTCTCCACAGAGTAGACTTTTAAGATCCTAAATAATAAAATGCAGTTTAGAGAAGGTTATGTGCTTTCCCAGGGCACATATTGTTAGATTAAAATCTACCACATCTTAGAAGTCCTCCCCACCCCCTTCCTATTGATTGAAGTTTTTCATTAAGAAAATACAAATTATATAAAATTAAATTTTCTCTGGTAAACCATTTGTATTTGAGACTCTTGATTTTTTTAATTACTTGAGATATGATGAATTAAATAGTGACAGTTTGAGAAGAGTGGATTGATTAAAATATTTTTAAAAAATAAGGATTAGGACCCAATGAACCAGTAGATTAAATCAAGATTTGTTAAGAAACTCCATTTTCTATACATTCACACACTTTGTGGATTTGACTTTAATCATAATGCCTGTTAGATGTTAACTTTCGAGACTACATTTTCAATATTTTGTCCTGTCCTCCTTCTCTCTGACATTAACTTTCATTTTTTCTCACCTTTGCCAACTCTCTTAAGGCTCATCTGTTGGTCTAGTGCCAGGCACGTTTTGCTTGTTTGTTCTCTGAATTTGGTACATCATGACTTGTTCTGAGATGTGTCCACCTTCTGCAGTCTGGTGGAAGTAGAGAATTGCAGCTAGGCTAGAACCAAGCATCAAATAATCGGATGCATTAAGAACCCTATGTGAATTCGTTAGCTGACCAACCTAATACGTGTTCTGTTTCCGAAAATATGTTTTGTTTGTTATGCTTTTTTTTCTAAGCATTTAAAGTTGACAAGTATAAAAGCATAGAAAGTGAAGGATTTTTCTTGTACTTTTTTTGTTTTCACTTCAAACAGGTACCAAAAACAGAGCCAACTCTAGTTTATGGGTAGTGACTGGGGCTAATGTGTTCCTAGTTTGAAATGACTGTCATAATCCATTAGCAGTAACTGGTGTAAATTGAGCTGATTGACGTTGTCAAATTTTAATAAAACATTCATTTCTCCAAAGCCTCACTTTTTTCATGAAGATCAAGTGATAAAGGATCCTGATATCCTCTAATATTTATGATAGATGCACTTTGCTTATCATAAACTGCACATGATATAGGCAGTGTTGTCATAGAGCTTTTGTTTGCATTTGATTTTCAATCCTGGAAAATAGGAAGAATAAAATAAAGTAAATGATGGCTGAACTTAGACTGTGTCTACATGATGTAAAACAGCTAATCAGTTTCCTGCATAAATTAATATGATGTTCATGTCTAGAGGTTAGAGGATTAGACATTGAAATAATACAATACCTATGCTGAGTAACTGTTGTTTCATAATTTCAGACATTCATATTATAAACCTATAAAATTTAGTGTAAGTCAATGTCATTATGATATACTGTACTACTGTTTACTGTCTGCATAAAAATCGACTAATCTGGGACTCTTATATAATGTGTTTTCTCTTGCTCTCTAGTCTTTATTTGTGTGTGTATATGTGTGTATCTTTTTCCATTATTCTCAAGATTAAGTAAAAACTATCATAAACTTTGTTTCTGATTTAAAATAATCTATTAGAGTCTAATAATTTACTTTTTGTATTATTAGTAGAAATTTTAATTATGCCTTCTTTTATTTTGTGTTACTTTGTTAATTCAGAATGTCTTTCCTATGGATATTTTATTACATATAACACATATATTTATGTATATAAAACTTTACTTTTTTTCCAGCTTCTTCCCTTTTAAGTGAGAAATAAAGCAGGCAATGCTTTTATTTTAATTCAACCCTAATAATGTATAGAAGTTGAAATATGTTTTTGAAAGTTCTGTCTTTCACCTCAAAATCTGAGTGAACTGAAATATGAGGTATTTTGAATTCTATTTCTCACCAAGGTGAGTTTATAGAAAGATTATATGGAAAGATAATATTAAATATTATATTAAAAGATAAATCATCCTCACAGCTGTGTTGTTTAACCTTACCATGTTTAGTTTTTCCTCTTCTCCC